CCGGCCACCGGCCCCGGGACGGCCCGGGACAGCGCGCGCCGGGCCGCCCGCCCGTCTCTGCTTTCAGGATGACGACGTCGGGCGCCCTCTTCCCGAGCCTGGTGCCGGGCTCGCGCGGCTCCTCCAGCAAGTACCTCGTGGAGTTCCGCGCGGGGAAGATGTCGCTGAAAGGAACCACGGTCACCCCCGACAAGCGGAAAGGGCTCGTGTACATCCAGCAGACGGACGACTCGCTCATTCACTTCTGCTGGAAGGACAGGACGTCGGGGACCGTGGAGGACGTGAGTGCCGCGGGCCGGGCCGGGCCGGGCCGGGGCTGCGCTGGGGCGGCCGGCGTGGGCCGGTGACACGCTCCTCCGGCCTGGCGCTGGGGAGAGGCCCGAAATCCTGACCTTCATCAGAGCCCTTGAGGAGCCAGGCCTTTCGGTACTGGTCTCTCCCTGGAGTTCTTTGTTCTTGGATCCAAGTGCTCCTTGTTGACTTCTTACCTTGTAACTTTAATCCTAAAACGTTTATGTTGAAGCCCTTCAAGATCTGCGGGCTTCTCCGCTCCTCCCCGGGTCCTTTGAGCGCTGCACCCCGTCCTGTCAAGACTTGGGGTTCAGTGAGTTTCCCTGGAGAGCCAGGGCTTATGTCGGGCCTGCATGGGAGGGGGACGCTGACTCTCCTCTTGGGGTTGCCAGGATTTGATTATCTTCCCGGATGACTGCGAGTTCAAGCGCGTGGCACAGTGCCCCAGCGGGAGAGTCTACGTGCTCAAGTTTAAGGCCGGGTCCAAACGGCTCTTCTTCTGGATGCAGGTACCCGGTGGGGCTGTTGAGTGCTTTGGCTTTTCTTGCTGTGACGCCACCCAGTTCGTTAGTGGTGTCACACACTAGGTGGCCAGTCTGACAACGCCAAGGTTGTCCGGAGTTTCTTGGAGCTGGGATGGCTTGTGCCAAAGCTCCTGCCCCTGAGCATCGCCAGCGGTGGTGGGTCTGATCCTGTTCCCACCACTTTCTCTGCCCTCTCCTGGGGGGGGGGGGTCCCTGCCCAGGGTGGTTCCCTGCTTCCTTAGTCTGTGGTAGCTTTTCCTCCTCCATGGCTCCCACGTCCCTCAAATCAGGGAGCTACCACTTAACTCTGAGGCCTGTGATTCTGGGGCTGTCAGCTGTGATTCCCTTTGTTGTTCTGGCAGCGTTGCATAGAATAGTTTGGGATCTAAGTTCTTTCCTAGATGTGTAAGCGGACTGTGGGCCAACAGCTAGACTTAGTGCTGGGCACCAGCGCTGGTGTCTGCAGCCCTATGCTAAGAGGAGGACAGAAGTTCTAGGCTAGCCAGACAAAGTTTGTTAGAGCTCACTTCAACAGCTAAAGGGCATGACTGCACACACCTGTTACCCTGCTCTGAGGGAGGCTGAGCCTGGGACAAGGTCCAGGCCTTCCCACACAAGAAAGAGGGTGAGACCTATGGTAATGGGAGAAATTGAGCATGGTAGTATGTGTTCTGTCATCTTAGAAGTTCAGGGAGCATAAAATAGGATCATGGTCCAAAGCAAGCAACAAGTGAGACTATCTCAAAGTAGCCAATGTGAAAAGGAGCTGTAGATGTGGCTCAGTGGTCAAGTGCCTGCCCGGTAAGCACAGGGTCCTGAGTTCAAACCCAGTACTAGATCAGAGCTACCGGCATTAGCTGTCTGGACAGTCACTGCTACCCACTTCTAGTCCCATCTAGAGGGACAGCATTGTCCAGTGACCTGCTCACCTGGTCTGAGGGATCATAGGAGAACAGTGGGTGCGGTTGTTTTCAAATTAAACTTGACTTACAAGGATGGGGTGTGGTTTGCCAGCTGTGGGTGTACAGCAGTTGTCTATTATTCACCAGAATTGGTGTCAAACTTCCTGACTTTCTGGATGGGGTCTCAGTTATCTAGGATGGCCTAGAATTTGAGGCCTGCCTGCCGCCCCCTCCCCAAGTCTGGGATTCCAGATCTGTGCCTCATCCCCCCCACCCCTTGGTGCTGATACCAGGGCTTGAGTTCAAGGCCTGGACACTGTCCTTTATCCTTTTTGCTCAAGGCGAGCCTCTACCCCTTGAGCCACACCTCTCTTTCCAGCTTTTTGGTGGTTAATGGCAACGTCCCCTGGGCGTCCCTGTCTGGTTGTATTACGGGGTGAGGCACCACTGCTGCTCTCAGTTCCTTTTTTGTTTTTCAGTTTTCCTTATTTTGTGCTTTTCTTGCCCCTTTCCTATGAGGGCTGAGCATCCCTGTGTACTGTGTGTAGCAGGTGCCCAGGGAACTTGTGGGCTGTTGCGCGTTCTAGGGGTGCCACAGGGTGGGCAGCAGCGGGCGGCGTTAGTGTAGCAGGCAGGTCCTGTGATTGAGGGAAAGAGGCTGCGGGCAGAGCTGCTGGGGAGGCCGCAGGCGCTGGTGACTCGCTCCTCCCCAGCATCTGCAGACCCGCCCCCCTCCGCTGTCCCGGAGGTGTGGCTGCTCTCCCCACCAGCGCCTGGGCTGGCTGCTTCTGTTTCTTCGGGTCCTTGTGGGGCCGGGTCAGGACGGCCAGTCATGTGGGCGCTCAGAAGCCAACCGGCACGAGCCGGTGCCCACTCGGGTGGCTCAGCATGGGGCCTCTCGTGTCGTCTTCAGGAGCCCAAGACTGACCAGGATGAGGAGCACTGCCGGAAAGTCAACGAGTATCTGAATAACCCTCCAATGCCTGGGGCGCTGGGGGCCAGCGGGAGCAGCGGCCACGAGCTCTCTGCTCTGGGTGGTAAGATGGGCATGGACCCTGGGGCACGGCCACTTGCTCCCCAACCCCCTTTTGCCCCCTGCCTGGCTGTGGTACCCCCCGTCAAGTCCAAGCCACAGGATACCCACAGGGGACCCCGTGTTTTCCAGGTGAGGGTGGCCTGCAGAGCCTGCTGGGAAATATGAGTCACAGCCAACTCATGCAGCTGATTGGACCCGCCGGCCTCGGAGGACTGGGTAACCCCAAGCTTGGCTCCTGAGTTGGGGGCGGGGCTCGTTTTCAAGCCTGTGTTTCCTCAGTGCCTTTTGTGGTACAGAGTGAGCCCCAGCCCAGCCTGTGCTCTGCACTGCCACTCTGGGAGGCCCCTGCTCACCTGGGGTCAGGGATCTGCACTCAGGGCTCCAGCCCCGGCCTCCGGGCTGCCCGCCCACCAGCAGCTCAGACTGTGCAGCTGACATGCCGCCAGTGCTTGGGTCATGTAATGCAGTGGGATGCAGTCTGGCTCAGTCGAACATGCTTCCGGCATGTAGGTGCTGTCAGGTGGTGCTGACCCCTGACACTCGTTCCAAGGCTGGGTGTGGTGTCCATCTGTCTCCCCCCCCCCCCCGGGCTGTGGCTGTCACGTGGGGACCCGCTGGAGTCTGTGGGGAAGCAGCTGGGTCCTCCCCAGCACACATGCCCTTGTTCCTTGCAGGTGGGCTTGGGGCCCTCACTGGGCCGGGCCTGGCCAGTCTCCTGGGGAGTGGCGGGCCTCCGGCCAGCAGCTCTTCCTCCAGGTGAGCCCATAGCACCTTGCCCAGCGTGCAGGCACCCCCGTTAGCCGGCCATTGTCTGTCCCTTCCCTCTGAGACCCCATGTAGGAGATGGGGCTTGGGGTGGTTGGGCGTCTGGAGTAGGACCTCGCCGCTCTAGAGCACCCTCGCTTTTCCAGCTCCCGGAGCCAGTCGGCAGCCGTCACCCCATCCTCCACCACCTCTTCTGCCCGCGCCACCCCAGCCCCTTCCGCCCCAGCAGCTGCCTCGGCCACCAGCCCAAGCCCCGCGCCCAGTTCAGGTAATGGAGCCAGCACGGCGGCCAGCCCGACCCAGCCCATCCAGCTGAGCGACCTGCAGAGCATTCTGGCCACCATGAACGTGCCGGCCGGGCCCGGAGGTAGCCAGCAAGGTAAGGTGGCTGTGCCCACGCTGAGGGGGGGCTTGGGAGTTGAGGGCCTGCCCCCCGCCCCCCCTTGTGGGTGGGTGTGTCCTTCCCACTTGGAGTCCAGGCTGAGCCACTGACGGCCCTGTGCTCATGCCCTAGTGGACCTGGCCAGTGTGCTGACGCCGGAGATCATGGCTCCCATCCTCGCTAACGCAGATGTCCAGGAGCGCCTCCTGCCCTACCTGCCCTCAGGGGAGTCCCTGCCCCAGACCGCCGACGAGATCCAGAACACGCTGACCTCACCCCAGTTCCAGCAGGTAGGCAGGCGCGAGCCGCGTGTTCAGGGAGACCCCGTCCCGCCCGCCTTTGGGGCAGTGGAACACCCCTGCTGCAGTGCAGTGCAGTGCAGCGCAGCGCCCGGGCCTTGCTGGGCTGTTACCCAGCACTCAGCCCTGACGTGCACACGGCTCTCCCTCACAGGCCCTGGGAATGTTCAGTGCAGCCTTGGCCTCGGGGCAGCTGGGCCCTCTCATGTGCCAGTTTGGCCTGCCTGCAGAGGCTGTGGAGGCCGCCAACAAGGGCGGTGAGTACCTTCCCGCTTCCCCTCCAGTCCCCCCGCGCCCTGGGAAGCAGCTCCTGGCTGGGGTAGGCCAGTAGTCACTTGTATTTTTCTGTGACTGTGGTTTGAGCTTCAGGCCTCACACTTTCTTCACAGCCTGGTACCCTAGTACTTGAGCCATGCCTCAGCCCTAATTGTATTTTAAATGCATTTCAGATGTGGAAGCATTTGCCAAAGCTATGCAGAACAATGCCAAATCTGAGCAGAAGGAGGGCGATGCAAAAGACAAGAAAGATGAAGAGGAAGACATGAGTCTAGATTAAGTTATTTACTGTCTTTTAAGGAGTTTGAATTCTTAGTCATGTGACTCTTGTAGTGGCATTCGTGATTTGTTGCATACCCTTTCCTGTTCCAACTCACTAATAAATAAAAGTCCTTTCTTTTACCTGCCAACTCTGGTCTTTGTCCCGGGTATGAGCTGGAGGGGCTCTGGACCCAAGCTGATGAGGGACCCCGTATTTCTGACTTGGACCTGACACTCGCAGCTGGTTTGGTCTGTGGCAAGGAGAGCGACGCCTGCGGTGTGTACCTGCGTGTGTTCTGGCTGTCTCCCTCCATGCTGCACATGCTAACTGGCTTTAGTTTCAATCCCACACAGTTAAGCAAATGACTTTTAATTTTTGAGAGGAAACCAGTAAGCTTTCAGATCTCAGAGAAGGTACAAAGTATAAACCCCTTTTAGTGTCTTGCCTTTAGATTGGAAAAGGTAAAACTGTTTCCAGAAACAAGAGTGGTCACCCTTGGAGCTAGTCTACATAAATACCCACAAACCTCGGTGACACCCAGCCCGCGGGGGCCTGGCCACCCAGGTGAAGCCAGCCCAGAGCCAGGGCTCCACAGGGGCAGCTGCACTATGTGACTGGGCAGCCGCTGACCCCCGCTTCCCCCTGCAGCTCGGTGGCCGTGGCCCAGGCGATGGGGGAATGGTTCACCACCAGCTTCCTCATGCAGCCTTGGTAGGCCGGGGGCGTCCCCTCTGCGGCTGTGGGCTCTGCGGTGCAGGGGAGGGCACAGGAGTGAGCCTAGGCCCCGTGGGCCCTCTGCGCCCTCGGGGCGGGGGGCAGCTCCCCCGGGGCTGAGGCCATACTCACCGGGCAGGCCCCCAAGGTGCAGAGGTGCAGGGGCCCCAGCCAAGGCCGCTGGTGAGGGGCCCACGGTGTGGTTGCTCGCTCTGTCCACCTCCAGACACAGCGCATTCTGGCTCTTGATGGCTGGGGGAGGGAGGTTTCAGCCCAGCTCCCCACAGCGGCCCCTGCTAGCAGGAGCGTGAGGTGCCCCAGGGAGAGCCAGGTCGGGCCACTCACCTGCCAGCCTGTGCCACCGCCCGTCACACAGGGCCTCGGGGTGCTTCACCCACGTGGAGAACTCGCCTGCCCCGTCATCTGCCCGCAGCAGGACCTGGGGAGGGGACAGTCTGGTTCTACCTACCCAAGGCCACCAGAGGGGCGTGCCTGTGCCCAGCGCAGCCCTGCGTACCTGTTCCTTAGACACCTGCAGCTGCAGGTAGGGGGGCGCCTGGCCCCGGCCCAGGTGGAAGACCAGGCCCGAGGCCAGCAGGGGCCGCACCTCCAGCTCCAGCTCCACCTGTGTCAGCGTGGCCTCGGGAGGCGCTGTGGGGAGGACTGCAGTGAGAGAAGGCCAGGCCTGCCCAGAGCCTTCCAGAACCCCAGGGGCCGCCTCTGCCACAGACCTAGAGTGATGACTCCCCCTCTGCCTGAGAAGACGAGGGCTGGCTCCAGGGGTCCTGGGGTGCAGGGCGTGACCCCCACCGATCGTGTGGGGGGCCCCAGGGGCTGCCTGTCCAGCTGTAGTCTTTTCACACAGCCACTAAACCCCACGGACACCTGCAGGCAGCAGGGGCTGGGTGAGGCTGGGTCTCGGGAGTCGAGGGGGCAGGGGGTGTTCAGAGGGCGGGTGGGTGGAGGCGCTTCTCACCGGGAGCGTGACGGCACGGCGGCTGGGGGGGAGGCCGCCCACAAAGAGGGTGAGAGACTGCGGGCCGTCTGCCCGCTGCATCCCGCTGTGCGAGCGCCCCTGGCTCACCACTGGGGCCCCGGAGGTCAGCAGCTGGATCTTATTCTGCTCCCAGTGCACGGACACCTGGGGTGGGGAGAGGGGGGTCAGTGCGGGGAGGGTTCCTGGGGTCCTGCCACACCCTCGCCGAAGCCTCACCATGTGCCACTGGCCGGACCGGGAACGCTGCTGGCTCCTGGCGTGGAGCCCTGGCCCAGGGCCTTCGGTCTGCACAGTGAAGTGACCACGATTCAAGTAGAGCACCAGGGCGGGGCTGTGGGTCGTCTGGGGGGCAGCGTAGAGGAGGAGGCCGTAGGAGGCACGGGGGTAGACGAGCATGGAGAAGTGGGACCTGGAGGGGGAGCAGGGTATCAGCATGGGGGCTCCCCCGAACCAACCCTTCCCACCCGGCCCAGCGGCCCAGCCCTACCCGTTCCCACGGGAGCTCGAGATGCCTGAAAACTCCAGGTGATTGAGCAGGGACCCTCCAAACTGGTAGGAGTCTGGGGTGGTGCTGGGGTGGGATGCGGGGCAGGCAGAGTCCTGCCGGGGCTGGCGTCTGCGGCGTGAGGTCTGAAAGCACAGATGGAGATGCAGAGGCCACGGCGGGACTCCCTCCTTCCACCCTAGCCATGGCCCCACCCAGCCCCGCCCACACCAGCGGTGGCCCCCACCCAGCTCTGCCCACCCCAGCCATGGCCCCACCCAGCCCCGCCCACCCCGCCGTGGCCCCCACCTAGCTCCACCCATACCAGCCGTGGCCCCGCCCAGCCCCGCCCACACAGCTGTGCCCCCCACTCAGCCCCGCCCACCCCAGCCGTGGCCCAGCCCCGCCCACACCGCGGTGGCCCCCACTAAGCCCCGCCCACCCCAGCCGTGGCCCCACCCAGCCCCGCCCACACCGCTGTGGCCCCACCTTCCGAGCAGAGACCCGCAGCCCCTGGGGTCGGCGGTGCCCCGCAGCCTGTGTCTCTGGCGCTGGGGTGCAGCCTGTGCTCACGTTGGCACTGCCCAGATTCTGCTGCAGGTTGAACACGCGCTGTGGGCCCTGGAGTCTGGGGGGGCAGGCGGGCAGAGTCAGCTGCAAGGGCCTAGCTGGGGCCTCACCCCCACCTGCCCACAGCTCACCGCTGCACAAAGACATTGCTGAGGCAGCCGCTGAATCTGTGCAAGGGGCCGGGCTCATCCAGGCCTCCCAGCAGCAGGCGGGCACCCTGCGGGTTGGGCGGCAGCCCAGCAGGAGGCCCCCGGTGAGGCTTCATCTGCTGCAGCTGGTCATCTACGTAGAGCCAGACCCTGGGAAATAGAAAGGCAGTGTTTCCCCGGCCCTGCCCGCTCCTCTGCAGGGCTGGGCTGGCCTGCGCCAGGCGGGGACGGGGCTCACCCGGTCTCATTGCTGTAGAAGGCCACGTAGTGTGGGACCCCATCGGCAAAGACCCGTCGGGTTTTCACCTCTGTCTTCATAAGCAGGAGTGTCACCTGGCCCTGCTTCAAGGACACCTGGCATAGCCCATCCTGGGAACAGCGGCCGGGCCAGTTAGCCAGGCAGAAGTGGGCCCAGGCTACCCTGCTCCAGCCACCCTGTCCAGATTGGCCACAGCCAGCTCAGGAGTAGAGCAAGCCATGGCCAGCCTGGGGGTGTGTGTGTCCAGGCATGGCCAGCCTGGAGGGGAGAGGGGGGGTCAGGACTGTGGACAGGCGGCCTCACCGGGGATGCGCGGTGGTACAGCAGACCATTTTCCTGGGTGCTGCGGAAGCCAAAGCCGGAGTAGACGGGGCTGGTGAGGGGCGCCACACTGGGGAGGCCCAGGGTCAGGAAGCCGTGGCCGTGGAAAGTCATGATGCGCTCCACCTGGGGGGAGGAGGATGCTGAGGCCTACCACCCAAGCGCACCCGCTCGCTGGCAGGCGGGGCAGCGGGACGGCAGCTCACCAGCAGGTCGGCGGTGCAGCCAAAGCTGATGCCGGTGGTGTTGAGCCTCTTGAGGTCCACATACTTGCCCAGCGCTTTGATCCCCTTCATACAGCCTCGGATGGAGCCCCCGGAGGGGAAGAGCGGCTGCAGGCTGCGGGAGACAGGGTCATGGGGGATCCCTCTGAGCCCCGGCCGAGCTGTGCGGGCCCCACCCGGCCCACGGCCCGGTCCTCACCTCAGGGGCAGCTGCTCGGGGGGCACACCACCCAGGAAGTAGGTGTCGGCCAGCTCCAGCTTGTTGTCCAGCTCCACGCTGAACACTGTGAGCCGCTCCACGCGCACCAGCACACGCTTGCGATTGGTGGCCAGAAGGAACACCTGGATCTGGTGGACACGGGTGGAAGGCTTCAAGGCAAGCCACGGGCCTGGGGTCCCTGCCTCCCAAGCGCCCCGACCTTACCGCTTTGCTGGCCGCGGTCATGGGCGGCCCGGGGTGCAGCGGGGCCGCTTCCTGCAGGCCCGTGCCGAAGTCATAGAAGAGCACCAGGCTGCCTTGCTGCACGGCCAG